AATTCTTAGTGGCTTCAGAAGCCTGATTGTTATAGGCGAATTCGGCAGTTGGGAGTAATGTACTCCAGTCTTCCACACGTTTATCAGTATAAATACGAAGATATTGCTCTAGCGACTGATTTGTTCTTTCAGTTTGACCATCGGTCTCCGGATGATATGCGGATGACATTGTTGATTGTATTCCGAGGAGTTTGCATACTTCCTGAAATAATGCGCTTGCAAACTGAGTACCTCTATCTGAGATAATCTGTCTCGGAAGACCATGCTGTGTCCATACCCTTTCATAGAAAGTACGGGCAAGGTCTGATGCTGAGAACTCATTGGTGATTGCAAAGAAATGTGCTCGTTTGGTCAAACGATCGACAACTACCATAATTGCGTTGAATCCATGGGATTCTGGTAATTGAGTGATTAAGTCAACAGAGACAATTTCCCAATGTTCTGTTGGAACCTCATTTGGCTGTAATTCTCCGTATTTTGGCTGATTGATGTTCTTGTTGCGTTGACAAAGGTCGCAAGAACCAACATACTTTTTGATGTAAGTGGACATTGCTGGCTACCAGTAGTTACGAGATAGCATCTCATATGTCTTCCATCTTCCAGGATGACCTGCACTGGCAGCTTCATGATGATGCTGGACGATTTCTCGTCTAAGTGATTCCTTATTATCTGCTTTCGGCACATAGACTTTGCCTCGGTATAGTAATATCCCACTTTCGAAGTTCCAGTCTTCGAGTCCTTTTGAGAACTCTCGTTGTCCTTTCTTGAGTAGGTCTTGATATGATTTGTTCACATTGTCGTCTTGTAACGCCTCCTTGATCTTGTCCACCAAATCATGATCTGTGACGACTGCAAGATGGGTATGTTGAATAGCTTTAATCGCGAAATATTCCGGTTTGAGCAGAGTTTTGTCGGAATTATCGAGATTTACCCCCTCTTCATGATCTGGCCTCCTGGACAGAGGATCGGCGCGATGCATTGATTTCCCTGGTTTGTGATGTAGTTGGATGTTGAACCGTGTAAGATATAACGACCATCGAGCTTGCCGTCTCGTCAGCTTTTGTGCTGATTTGAAATAGGTTAAGTTCTGGTGATCGGACCATATTTCGACTGGGAGCGGATGACCTTCGAGATGTTGTCGGTATTCTTCCAACGCTCGAATGATTGCGAGCATCTCTTTGTCATAGATTTCATAGTTCCACTCCGCCTCATTGAGGCTTTTCGAATAGAATGCGATTGGATGCCACAACTCATCGTCTTTGAGTTGTTCGAGGCATGCGCCAGTGGCAAAATCGCTGGAATCTGTTTCTAACTGGAATGGATGTGTATCATCCGGTAATGCCAGAATTGGAGCTGTCGTAAAAGCTTTCTTGAGAGCATCAAATGATTGTTGTTGCTCTTCGCTCCATACCCATTTCTGATCCTTTCGTGTAAGGATATTGAGTGGTCGAGACTTTTTGGCAAATCCTTCAATGAATCGACGATAGAAATTTGCGAACCCCAGAAAAGCTTGGACTTGCTTAACCTTCTTGGGCTCAGGCCAGTCGAGTACACCTGCGACCTTTTGAGG